ACCCTAAACCCTTAAATCTTAAACCCTATACCCTAATAACAAGCAGGTTGTCCTCAAGCCGCTGCGTTTACAACGACCTCTCTTCTCTCTGCTTCTTCCTCAGAGTGGGCCGTGGCCTCCACCATGGACTTGAAGGATGCCACGGGTCCCTTTTTGGGGTTCCCTAAAGGGATCTATAAGGGTTTCTATAAGGGTTTAGGGTTTAAGGGTTTCTATATATTAGTCTCCAAAGTCGTTCCTTGAAGGATGCCACGACATCAAAAGCTCTGGTTCCTAGTAAGGAATGGGGGAATGGGTTCTTGGGACTACTATAGGGGACCTTAAGGGACTATCATAGGGATCCATCCCCCCATTCCCTACTAAGAACCAGGGAGTCAACAGCTCGCCTTGACATGACTAGGGTTTAGCTCCTAGGGTCTTAGGGTTTAGGGTCATAGGGTCTTAGGGTTTAGGGTCTCAGGGTCTAGGGTTTAGGGTCTCAGGGTTTAGGGTCTCAGGGCTTAGGGCATTGGGTTTTAGGGTTCGGGGCTGTAGGGTTTAGTGTTTAGGGCTTAAGGTTTGGAGTTGTGCATGCAGTTTGACAGCTACCTCGATCCTGCGTCATGAAGCTGGACGTTCGCTTCGAATTCGTGTGCAACATACGTTTGCGCGTGCAGAGCACGGCTCAGTAGTTCTTCACCCCTTGACCCCTAAACCCTAAACCCTATACCCTAAACTTATAAACCCTAAACCTTAATTATACCTCGTACCCCGACCCCATAAAACCCTATCGCCCCTGCAAACCCTATCGCCCCTGCATCCGCTGGTTAGAGTTTCGGGTCCAGCATGCAGGGCCCAAGGCGCATGTCATGTGTCACACAAAGTCCTCTAAGTTCCACAACCAAAAAAGCCCAAGACCATGTCGGAAGACACTAAGTAGCTATAGTTTGTTATAGTTTAGTATGGTTGTATGGTTGATTACAGTACAAAGGAAGCCCTCCAACTCCTAGAGGTTCAGCCTCGTCAGCGCAAGCCTCGATTCCAAACATGTAGACTGTAGACCAGGGCGCTCCGACTCATTCAAACACGGTCCACTGGATAGCATATCTCAGAGGCTGCGTATAGTCTCCTTTGCAGTTCCTTGTTTTAGTTCACCAACGGTATATATTATAGGATCCTAGGCATATCCAGCCATAAAAGTTGGTGGCCAAAGAAGGGAACTGCAACAGAGACTGTAGGGAATTATGACTACCCGAGCCACTTGAAGGCTTTGGGCTTCCGGATTGGCTTTGCTTCATGCTCCAGGCTACCAAGGAATATCAGACATGCAGGGAAAAGTCTGATCTGCGGGGTACCAGCAAGCGCTGCCATGATTCGGACTTCCGGTTCACCTGGCGTAGACTTAAGAACGTCAACTTCTTCTCGCAGCCTCAACCTTAAACCGCCCCTAACCCGATAAGCATCCCGAAGCCGCCAACCATTCACGATTCTTCTTGCGAAGCCCCGCAGTGTACAAAGTACCTAGACCCTGAAGGAGGAGACTGAGCAGTTCGACGTTCTCGTAGCCTTGCTGGTCAAAGCGCTCCAGGAGAATGGTCGGCCTTAGGCTTCAGGGGCATACCCATAGGCTCCTAAGTAGTTCCTTTTTGTTTTATATTTGGAATCCTATAAGGTAATCCCAAAAAGGAACTACTAAGGAGCCTATGGGTAGGCATAGGTTGCAGGGTTTGAAGTCTAGGCTTTGGCGTGTTTATACCCTGAACCCTGAACCACCCTCAACAAGGATTTCAGGCATTGTTCAACCCTCGACCTTAGGTCTTCAATAAGCGGAAGTTGTATAAGTTATCATTATACTAGATCATTTGGTTTTATGCTGGATGAGATTAGCTTCCTACTAGATTCGACTAGTTAGTATAGTATAGCAGAATATAACATAGTAGTATAATGCAACACAACAAATATGACATAGTACACTAGAATAGAAAGAGAATACAATATGACACAGCAGGATCGAAAAGAATATACTCCAATTTAATATGCTATGATGCAAAATGATATGATATCACCATCAAATACCATACAGCATAATACTACATAGTATATAGTATATAACATAGCAGAAGAGAATATAGTATACCATACTGCACTGTAATTCCAGAGGATACAACCAAACGTAGTGTGATACTATATAATATCTAACATGTAACACAGCAGGATATACTATACTGTAATATACTAATACAAAATAAAAAGTAGCATATCATAATACAATATGATATAAAAAATGATAATGCAATACTGCACAAGGTAGTATGTTATAGTATAATATGGTACTATATGCCATGTTTTGATATATTTCAGTATAATACGCTGTAATGTCAAGCTATATTATGCTCTGCTATGTTTCGCTCTATATGTGTACGGAAGATACAGTTATGTTGCGCTGGTTAGCTTCCTAAAATAATACCAAGCAATACAATATAGTACCACATAGTATAATGATATACTATAATGTAATTTAAAAATAGTAAATCAGAATATAACATACAATTAAACAACAGCTTACTCGACGTTATTGGTATATGTTGCAGAAAACATCTGAGGGTTCAAAAATAAGGCTGGGTTGTCTTGGGGTCTTTCGGGCTCAAGTTGTTGTGATCCTTGAAGCTTGCTAAACTAAGCCTTCGGCCTATAGGAGGCTTTCATAACACATGATTCATGATAGATAGTACATCATACAATATATTTGTGTGTGTGTGTATATATATATGTGTGTGTATACATATACACAGTTCATCTATTATCTAAATTTAGGTTTTGTCACGGTCTTGTAGGGTGCTTCAACATGAAAACGATGACTGGGAGCAGGATGCCAATGCTTCAGACGCAACGGTCCTGGACCAGACTCTTTCCCTCGAAACTCATTCAGCACATTGCAGAACACGTTTTTTTTTTTTTTTGTTTTCATCTTTTTGCCATTTTGAATATGGAATAAAATTGAAATCCCTATCAGATTGTCTCAAGCACGCCTAGTGTCTGTGAGGCGACATAGAATCCTATCACAAGGCTTGTGGTACCCACCCTGGCAAAGACTGAAGCAAAATCAATCCTATGAGCTACGAATCTCGACAAATCCATGCACACACCTTTACCACATCCCTGAATCTAAAATGCAAGAAGCCAAGGAAGATCCTTTCACTGTTTGCCTGGAAGCTTTCGTGGCACAGCGCTTCCTGGAGAAGACAGGTGCCTTGGCCGCCAGACTCGATGGCCTTTTGATGTAGGAGGAGTAAGGGGTTTCAGGTCGGTGCTTATAGGGGTTTAGGGTTTAGGCTTTAGGGTTTAGGCTTTAGGGTTTAGGGCTTAGGGTGTAGGAGGAGGCGGAGGAGGAGGAGGAGTGGTGAGGGTCAGTAGATCGATGCTATTTCATCGTTGTAACAGAAGCAGGTCACAGTCGTCTTATCATGTATGTTGGTATCAGTTCTGCAGTACCAAGGCTTATGCGTCAAAAAGGGATAATTTCGTGTTGGGTCCTAAGTCTACCACTTAACCCTTTAACTATCTTTCCCAGGGCTTGGGATAGGACGGCACAGTTCGGGTAAGGTGGCTAGCATCCCTGAAACCCAAGAATGCCAGGCATGCCACCCTACTACGTCTACGACTTCAAGCTGCAAGCGTTGGACTGTTTCGCTCATGGGGGGGCCTATGCCACGGTGCAGCTCGACTTTAACAGTGAATTCACGTTGTTCAGCTGGGCCAAGCTCAAGTCAAAAACTCTCCGGTTCTTACTTGTCTACTTTGCACACTTTCGCGCAGATAGTTTGGCAGACATTGGTCGGTGCCTGCTTAGACTGGTCTGTAGCCTACTTGTTCGGTCCTGCATGGGAGGACAGTATTTCCTTTTCATGAGTTCAAGGATGCTAAAGTCCCGTGTGCGAAGTTCCCCGCTGATTTTTGGCTTGTTGGGACGGTCTCGAATCGGATCCAGGAATTCTGCGTGCAGCAGACTGAACTGTGGCTCTCTCTGCTAGTCGGTTTAGGGTTTAGGAGCCCTAGTGCACGATCGGCACGGGCTTGTTTGGCCTTGGTACCCTTCGTTTGATTAGAGGGCTTTCCATGCTGTGCAAAGCGGTGTCAAGCAGACACCAGTGGCGAGATAGGCCCAAGGCCTCTTTTAACCTCATCAGCCGTGCAACCCTTGACGCCCTAAGCCCCAGACACCATCAAATCCTAAACCACCCTGAACCCTAAACCCTAAACCCCTAAACCCCTAAACCCCAAACCCTAAAACCCCTAAACCCTAGAACCCTAAACCCCTAAACCCCAAAGCCCCTCGCCAGAGCTAAGGGAGACAGGCTTAAAGTCGTGGCTCGCTTCGCCGAGGAATGGCGTGCAAGAAGAAACTTGGCTCCGGTCCATGAACCCCTTTTTCGGGGCCTTAATTATAATTGTTGGAATCGTGTTTTGGGATATGTTTCGTCCAAGTTTATAAGGGTTTAATCGTTGGCATCGTGTTTTAGGGTTTAGGGTTTCAGGGTTTTAGGGTTGTCGTTCAAGTGTATAAGGGTTAATTTAGCTAACCAGAGTGGATGAAAGGAGATTTTCGTTTCGGGAGGCCTTGGCTTATCAAGAGCAAAGCCGTCATCATCCCCACTACTAAGCCCGCAAGATCTAGACTCCCAGGAGGAGGCAGTCAAGCAGGAGCTCAAGAAAATGGGCTTGGATGCAATGAGTTTTTTGGAAGTCTTTGGCGTCTGTGTGCCCGATCTCTGTCGGCACAACATTACGGCCGTGGCATGGCACTACATGATCCTCGGCGAGAAATAGGAGGGTAGGGTGGGGTGGGGTAGGGCAGGGTAGGGTAGGGTTTATAGGGTTCAGGATTGAGGGTTTAGGGTTTGTGATCCTCGGCTCCTTTGGAGACGGTAGATCCCGACCCAGAAAAACCGCAGTAAAGTTGGAACCCGACTGTCGGCTCGTCCCTGAGCGTTGAGCGATAAATCCTATCGGCTTCGAGCTCAGAAATCCTAAGTCTCTTGAGCCCACTCCCGATGAAATGTGACGATTATAAGAACAGCAAGCAAGCGAACTGCAAAAACGGAGTAGCACAAATACGACCACGAAGACGACGTGTGCGGATGTCCAAGCAGTGCTAGCTGCTAGTGCTACTTGGAGCGGCAAGATTACACAGAACAGAACGCTGTCAGCCAAACTCGTAATGGATGACATCAACCAGCATCGTTTCTTGTAACGACTGGTTCCGTTGCAGATGCGAGAAAATATTATCAAGGGTAGTGTCACCAACAGGAGTGGCAAGTAGTACCAAACGGTCCTTCCCAAACTCTCAATCTCAATCCTAAACCTAAAAGCCCCTGCACCCCACGCATGCACCCACCATAAAACTCCTAAGCGTTACGCACTGGAAACCCCATGCATGCCCACGTTCGCGAAGAGCCTAGGATGGACCACCAGATGTTTCGGTCCAGTTTCTGGCAGGTGCCACCTGTGCCCAGTCGGGCGCGTATTCGCCGGTTTTTCAGAAACCGGACGTTTTTTGCGCCGGATGCCTGACTGAGAAGCAAGAAAAGACTGGCGTAAGGGTTTGAGGTTTAGGGCATAGGGTTTGGAATATTCTTGGGGTTGGGGCCTTGGGGTTCAATGTTTGGGGCATGGTTCGCGTGGGGAGCATGGCGTGGGGCATGGGCTCTAGCCCATCGTCTCAGGCCTATGAGTAGTGGTAGATAGGCGTGTAAAGAAGACAGGCACACTACCTAGACCCTCCATCTACCCTCTATTAGACCCTAAGTACTAAGTACCCCTTATTTGGGACCACATACGCCTATTTGAGGGTACAATCAGGGTCCTGGTACTCCATCTTGTACGATCATTGATTGGGGCTTTGAGCCAACACTAGAGACTGCGCTTCCGCAACCCCAAAACCCTAAACGCTAAGCCGCTAAGCCTTACACCCTACACCAGGAACTGACCTGGAGCCTTACGCGTCCTAACACCGACGCCGAACCAATGAGTAGTCCTCACCCCCACTCTACTGCTGTGGTCACCCTTATGGATGGGGATTGTGTAGCAGAAGATATAGTCATATTAAGTCATATTATGTCGTCGGGGTCCCCAACCCAGCTGCCTGAACACATATTTGCCTGCATAGCTCCACCAATGTTAGAATATGCCAAAAACCATCATCTTATTCCGCAGACCCCTTAGTTACTTTTCTAAAACAATACCATCAGTTCAACGGTATTTCAATAGTTTTGCTTAGTGTTTTGTTGGTGCTCCTGATTCCCTACTTGAACTTTTCGTTTTGACATGCTGCAAACGATGGTTCGGGCAGTTGCTTTTGTGTTTCGGATTTAGAGTTGCTTTGTGTTTCTCGTCTAGTTCAGAGTAAAGGGGTTCTTGGCAGATGATGTTGGTTAGCTTTTCAGGGGCTTCCTGAGCAAATCAGCTTCTTGTGCTCTTTCGATGAGTGCTTTCCATCCGAGATGCACATCGCAACGAGCTCGACCGACGTCTTGGGATATCCGATATGATCTATGATCGGTTCATGGTTTAGGGTTTAGAGGGTTTTATACCGGAATGGTTTCCACGCCGTGGCCGTGGCCTTCTATGAACCATCCCACCTATACCGCCTTGGAGCAAGTAGATGGCAGCTTCTTCCCCGACCACACAACCACAGAGGGTTGCATCCACGGATGTCCCGCGTTTAGTAGCTTTCAGAGTTTGTGAGTCTAATATAGGAGCCTTAACAATTACCTGTTTTATTTTTTTGGAGGGGCGAGGGCTCCTTATCATAACTATAACTGTAAAGTACCCTATTCTAATTATTATTAACCTACACTATTTGGGGGTTCCTCATTATGACTATATCTATAATGTACCCCCAAAACCCTATTCTAAGTATTAAGGCCCCTTGATCAGGGCCCAGGAACGCTCAGGATCCAGGTGTTGAACGAGGCACAGCAACACATGTGCTGCAAGGCCCTGAAGCCACTCAGCTTAGGGTTTGGGGTTTAGGGTTTCTCCACCAAGTCGTTCAAGACGGGACGTGTCAAATCGACAGCTCGCACCTTAAACCCCTCACCTGATGATACGGGTTTACCCTAAGCTGCTAGACCCTAAACCCTAA